GCTCGCCGCCGCTTGAGGATAACTGATTTGCGCCCGGCGCGCGCAATCAGATCCGCCACCACTTCAACCGAGCACGGGCCCCGCCCCGTTGCGAGCGCCACTTTTCCCAGAGCTAACTTGGCGCCTCTGCATTGCACCGCGAAGATTGCACGCCCTCGCCCTCATTCTCTTCCTCGCCTCTCGTTCTTACACCAGCGTTCGACCCCTCGGCGCGCGCGGGGGGGGCAATTTCCCCCCCGCGCCTTGAGACCAGTTTTCTATTTCGGATGGATAACGCACGTCACCCGGGGGGGGAGCGCGGGGGGGGGGCAACTGGGGCCGCGGCGCGCACCCCCTGAGGCGCGCGGACTACGTCGTCGTCGTCGTCGCCGTCGCCGCCCAAGCCCACGGCGACTGCGCACACGGCACGGGCTCTGCACAATGCCTCGTGCACCAGAGCTGCCACAAACATCGCATGCGCACGCCACGTCCGTCGTCTGTCGCCCGCCGTCTGTCGCCGCCCCCCCGCGACACCCCAGATCCCAACGTCTCGCCCGCGCGCGTCCAGATAACAGCACGCTGCGGCGAACGCCACCGCGCCGCAGAACATAGCGGCCCCTGCAAGCCCCCCGCGCCCCCCACAGGACCTGCGCAACTAGCCAGGTTAAGTTGTCCTGCGGCGGGGGGGGGGGGGGGCGAGCCCGAAAAGCCAGGCCATCGCCGGACCTTTAAAAAAAAACTCCTGCGTGCACCACGCCGCACGCCCGCGCGCGCAACAGACCCCAGGCTGCCCGGCGCCGCGCGCTGGATCGGGGCCGGGGCGCTGCCGCTACGGGGGGGGCAACACGCGCCATCCCACGGGTGGATAAAAATGCCCCCCCCCCCCCTCCTGCACTATGAGGAGGCGGCAGCGATAGCGACAAGGAAGATGCGCGGCACTGCGGATTTCGGCCCCCCCCCCGACCGGGCCAAGTCGCAGCGCGCCCACTCGCCCCGCCCCCCCCCCCCCCACCACGGGCGCAGCTTCCACTCCGCTGATCTCGCTGCCCCCGCCCCCACGCCCCCATCATCTACTCGCGATGTAGCGAATGTTTTCGCGGCGATTCACCGGGGCCCCCCACCTCGGCCAGTCGAATGGAACAGGCCCTCCACCAGGGCCCCCCACATCGGACCCCCCCCTTCAACTGCGACGCCCTCGACCGTCTTTCCATGGCCCTGATCCAGCAGGCATGCGAATGTCGAACTGGAACGCGCATCCTCGCCCGCGCACCTCCATTCGCCGCCCCGTCGCCTTGCGCCCCACTCCATGGCGGGGGCGCCCATCCGCGCCGCGATCGAGCAAGGTTGGATGAATTGCCTCGACAATCTCCCAGGCAGAGCCCAACACCTTGTCGACGTCTGCCACGCGCACGGGCGCACTCACCCGCGCCCCTTGCTCGTTTTCCTCCCATTCGATCACGCGCCCGCGGTTCTCGATAAGCACCCCGTCGGCTGCGCCGCAAGGCTCGCCCGCCAGCGATGCTTCCGCGGGCGCCACTGGGGCGCGAGCCCCCCCGCGCGGGGGGGCCACGGCATGGCGAGCCCCTGAGTTCAGAGTAGCAATCACTGCCGCACACGGCCCCAGAGTTCCCCTCGCGGAGGCATTATTCAACTTCAGGGCCAACACCAAATGCCCCCAGTAGCTGCACTTTTAGCGCATGTTCGCTGCCAGTTCTGTTCCGACCCCCTAGGCTCCTGCATATTCTTGAGCGCCAGCCGCTGCTGTCGACTCACACAATGTCGCCACCGATAACATTACGATTCGGATGTTCTCTTTCGTCCTCGGCGCCGCTGAGTCCGTCCGCCCACCGCCGGCGGGTCGCAGGGCGCAACAACCCAATGACACCCTCCAGCTTCCCCCAAGGGAGGCTTCGCGCCCACGCTGGCCCCCCGCGGTTCTCCAAACCCGGCCGCGCCCCCCATTGCTGCCCCACTTAATTCGCCCCCTATTCCGCGCGCAGGTCGGCGACGCGCCCCACGTTCTCCGCGCTCGCAACATTCCCGATCACCCGCGGGGCCCAATCCCCCCTGCTTCATTTCCACGGCGCACGGGCGCCGCAATTTCCGCAACTACCCCCCGTTGATTCGATGTCCATGTCGACGCACTGCCAGCAAATCACATGTCCACCCCCATGCCCGCCTCGCTTTTGCCCCGATGACCTCCTGATCGTCCAACAATTCGGCATGCGCCCCAAAATAACAACGCCTGTAACATTTGGGCACGTATCCTCCTTTTCCCTCGCCTGTATCCAGGGCATCCACACCGTCGCATCCTTCAGTCTCTTCCTCTTGCCCCCTGTGGGTAGCATTGACCAAATAACCGCCCTCGTCGATGTAGCCTTCCACGTTCCATCCCTCGCTTGCACCGTGTCAATCTGCCCCTCCTAAGTCCCGCCGGCGCCCCCGACGCCCATGGCATCGCGGTTCTGCGCGCCAGCATCTCACCTTCCCTCGCGCGCCCACCCTTCCCACTTAACACGGGGTTGCTGATGATTGCCCAACGCGAGTGGGTCTGGAGTCTCGAAACACCCCCGGCGCCAACCCTTGAACGAGTCGCCGGCATGCGTCACGATGGCTCTCAGCGCCGCGACTCTCAGAGGCCGATCCAACAAGTAAGCGGGGCCATAGTTTCCAAGGCCACAACCAATATCGTCAACTGTTCTATCAGGTCGTCTACATGATCAGCGTTCGTCGGCCCGTTGGGATCCACGACCAGGATCATTTTGGCAGGCAGGGTATCTGCGGCAACTGTGGAATACCATCTGGCTTGCTGGATACGCCTGCAGCCCAACTCCCTACCTACAAATTCCCCCTGCGCCCCACCCAACCTAACTTCCAACTTAATATGTACCGCATGTCCTCGTCTAGCAGATGCACAACATCTTCACTGAATTCCATGTATGATTGGCGGTCGTTGTCATTTTGTTCGGCATGGTCGGCTCTATGTTATCCGCAGCCATGGGCCTTCCTTGGGGGATCCTGACCACGCCATCCGCATCTTCATCGTGAAACCTCTCGCCCGCCGGTTCAAGTTCCACTCACTTTCGACTGAGCTGCGCCTGCGCGTCCAACAGCGCCCCGCGCCACTCGCGATTGTTTCTGTATCCTGCCGACGTCTACGGCTGCCGCGTGGCCTTCTATTCGCAACCAGCTTTGGTTATCGTCTTGTCTTCGCGTGCACCATCTGATTTCGCTATCCTGGTGACCTGGTCCACCGTGTTTGTTGCCCGTTCGCTTGTTCCTCCATTGCCTACATGTTGCGGCCGACGAAACTTAGCAAAACGGAGTTCATTTCCTGAGCCATGAATAACACACCGTCCATGGCTCTCCTCTTGTGTGACAGTTCTGACTCTTGCCGCTGTCTGTAGTCCATGGCCTCTCCCATTCCGCCTCGATTGGCTCTCAGGTATACCACATAACTGTAGTCGCCCTCATAACCAGCCACTTAAAATTACCCACTGAATTCCTTGCAGAATGCAGGTTGAAGCCCCGATCGCGACCTTGGGGCGTGCTCAATTCAGGGAGCGGGTCTCCTTGGTGTGCGGGAGTTGCTGCTGCCGCCGTTGCCGCCATCGACTTCGCGCAAGTCCCGAGGAGGCACTGCACGAGAACAGATTGATGCTCCTTGCTACAACGCAATTCACAAACTCGGCACTGCTTGGCCGCTTGAGCCAAATGGCGTCGGTAACGACATACGCATGACCAATACACCAGCACACCCTCCCCAGCCAACCGCACGCTACATTCTAACAGCTTTACGTCCTCCACCCCCTTGTCCTCCTCCTCCTCCTGTTCGTACTCTGCTCAGTCTTCGTATTGCAAATACTAATAGTAGTAATATTGTTCTTCTTCGTGTTAGTATTACGCTTATGAGTAGTCGTATTAATATTAGTACTCTGAGTATGTGTCGCATTATTATGTTCCGTATACGTATGAGTGTACGCTCCGTACTGGTAGCATGAGCTTAACAATCGTATTACTCTTACTAGAGCTAGGATTGTTCGTAATCGTGGTAGTAGTACGGATCACCGTATTACGACTATTATTGTTATGTTTCTTAGAATCAGCCTTCTCATGTTTAATAAGATCATTCGTACTATAAGCGTGTTACTATTATTATTCTGAATGTTACAATTATTCGTATTCTTCAAACGACTACGATTCGCATTATTAAGTAGTCTCATTATTATTATTAGTAGTAATAAGTTTTCGTCTTCGTCTTCGTCTTCTTTTGTTCCTCCTCCTCCTCCTCCTGCCTCCTCCTCCTGGGCAGGCTCCCGCGCGAGAGGGTCCGCCAGCCTTCTGAAGAGCCTTCACCTCCTGCGGACGCGCGTGAGAGTGGTGGGAGGACGAGGAAAGCAGCAACAGCAGCAGAAATGACGCAAGTTGGACAGGGGGCCAGGAACCAGAAGCAAAAAGCAAAGAGCAGCAACAGCAACAGGAACAAAGACCCAGGAGCACCAGCAGCAGCAGCATAATCATCAAAAAGAGCAGGTGGGAGCAAGAAGCGAGAGGAAAATCAAGAGAACGATGGGGAGGCGCAAGAGAGGAAGTGAGTGAGGGCGAAGGGGGGGCGAAGAGGGCGGACGAAAAAGAGGAAGGAAGAGGGAGAGGGGGCAAGGGAAAAGAAAAGTGACAGAAGTATGGGGAGGGAAGGGGATCAGTATAATGAGGGTAGAAGAAAAACAAAAAACGCCATAAACACAAACTTTGGCGCTCCGCGCGGATTGCTTGGATCTGCGCTGGACCCCGAAACCGACGGACCTGGACCCGCAAAAATGACGGCCGCGACGCCCTCTCGCGAACCGAAAACGGCCGATTCCTTAATCGACAAGTCAGGGTAGGAGGTCTATCCACCTTCGATTCTTCGAAAGGGGGAAGTAGCAAAAGGAACACGACGATGCCGAGCAGCCGCCGACGGAAGGAGTGCATCGGGCGAGGCCGCGCCCAGACGCCCCGACGGGCTCGAGCCCGGGCCCCTCCTCGAGGCAGCTGGCCGACCAGTACTCCCGCTCGGTCCTGGCATGGGGGGTCAGGGGCGGATCACGAGGCGCACGGAGAAAGGAGAGAGGAGGAGGAGGAGGAGGAGGAGGAGGAGGAGGAGGAGGAGGAGAAGGAGGAGGAGGGGGAGGCGGAGGAGGAGGAGGAGGAGGAGAAACCGGAGGAGGAGAGAGAGGAGGATGAGCAGGAGGGCTCGCAGGCGGTTTCTTCCCTCCACCGCTCCGGCAGTTCGCCACTACCGGCCTGCGCCAGCGGCGCGGCCTACAGAGGCAAAAAGAGGAGGGCTACAGTCGGACCTAGGCCAGACGGGCATCCTTGAAGAACATGAGACCCTCCGCCAGACAAAACAGACAGAACATTCAAAGGTAGCATCCCCAGGATGCACGAGAATTTCCAGAAGACACGAAGAACATCAGGGGACCCTCCCCGAACCGACCCGACCTCGATCTTATACCTCGGTCCGACTGTACGGCAGGTTCGTGTCGTTCCGACTTAGGCGCTGGTTTCTGACACCGCGGGGATCGTTCAGCCTGGAACGATCAGCTGTTTCCGAAACGTCACACCGTTCAACATCGACCGATTCTGGGTCGCTGGCGGCGTTCAAGCTGAAATCTGGCGGCGGGGTCACCACCAGTCGATACGACGCGAGTCGACTATACCAACATATTGTTCGTTCACACGCATCATAAACGCATCGTTTGCTTGTAGAGACATATAGATACTAGAAGCACGCGCACGCTTCGCGCGCGCGCGCTTACATTCTAGCGCGCCATGTCCCTCGACAGCAACACAGCTGCACGTCTGCACAACCATACGCACGTCTTGGACACGAGTTGCAACGGCCATGACGAGGACATCACAAAGGGCACACGAAAGCCCTCCTCCTCCTCCTCTTCCTCCTCCTCCTCCTCCTCCCCCTCCCCCTCCTCCTCCCCCTCCTGCTGCCCCACCTCCTCCTCCTCCTCCTCGGGACTGGGCCTCCTGGGCCTCCCCGTCCCCTCCTCCTCAAACTCGTCCTCGTCCTCGTCCCTCCTCGTCCTCGTCCCTCCTCGTCCCTCCTCGTCCTCGTCCCTCCTGTTTTCGCCATCGTCCTCGTCGTCCTCCAGGGGGGGGATGCGACAACCGGCCGTGGCTGCCGCGCGGGCGTCCCGCGCCTGGCCGACACGCGGAGAAGCAGCGACCAAAGGGGCCCAGGGACACACGAAGAAATACACCCAAATAACAGGATTCCCCATATTCTCGCATATTTGTTTTTTGATGTTCGTCTTCCCCCCCACTTCCCACAGTGTCCATCTATTTCCCTGGGAATCGACGATTGCTTGTGCCTGTGTGTGGTTTCCCCTCCTGAGCGCAGATTTGTTTTTTGAGTTTCGTCTTCCCCCCCACTTCCCATATTGTCCATCTATTTCCCTGGGAATCGACGATTGCTTGTGCCTGTGTGTGGCTTCCCCTCCCGAGCGACGCCAGTGGGCCCTTGCAGAGGCGCCTGCGACCACCCCGGCCCACCCAGGGGGACCTTGGCCAGGGCGGAGCTCCGCAATGCACGAAAGGCAGCAGGAGGGCTCGCGTCGGTGATCGACTACAGAGGTGATTCACCCCAAAATTTGAGTTGTTCGTCGAGCACACGCAGGATGTTGAGAGATTTGCGTAAGGTCTACCTGCGTATTGTTCGTAGATTCGACGAGAATTTCGATATCGAGGCAGATCAATTATGTAGTCGATCTCCTCGAATGGTGGACAGAGAAGTGCCGACCCTCCCGCAGGAAAGGCTGGGCCATGAGCGGGCATCGACCTTCAGATCGTCGGTAGCCTTGCCTGCAACTAGTGGCTGGGGAGTGCAAAAACATGATAGCACACTCGTTTTGTCGGCGCTGGCATCAAGCCTGCATAGTATTATGTTGTTCCCATCATACTTAAGGACCACATCCCAGAAACAAGTTCGAGCACCCAGAAAGTATCGAAACAGCGTCGAACGAGTATCGCCTCCTAGGGCCCGACACTGAAAAACCCTCCAGTGTCGGTACTGTCTTGGTGCTCGAAATTCTTTCTGGCGGTCAAAGCTAAAAGTAGTTGGAACATCATAAACATAGTACATGACACCCTCGTCCGTCCTCCAGTGTCCCTCCAAGGTGCCAGCCGTCTGTCTCTACAACAATAGAGCTTAACGACATGGTATGGCATGACATGAACCGCTGTTTCGGCCCTCGTGTTCTTTCGGGATCGCCACGGGGCCCGCAAGGGCCTCCTCCACTGCCTCCAGGGGCCCCTGGGGACGTTGAGGGGCGAGGATTCGGGGCGATTGCAAAACTTACCATTGCCATGCCCCTCCAAAGATCGTCATCAAGTTCTGACTCTAGTGGAGCATGGTCATGGTACCTCCCTTTCCTCGAAGTCCTCATCACCTTATCATGGTCCCTCCATCCCATTCACCTTCGAACTTCTCATCCTTCTCAAACTCGTCTTCATCTTGCCATGGTCCATCCCTTCCCTCGAACTCCTCATCATCCTCACCCATCCTCCTCGTCTGTCTTCCCCACCCCCCCTCCCACTGCCCGGGGCAACAGCCATGGAGCCAGTGCTGCTTGGCAAGATTGTCGGGTGCATGGGGCACCCACCGCCAGCAATGGCGAATCGCAGAGACCTAGGTCGAGGGGGCCCGCGCCTGAGGATCCGCTCGAACTCCTCGGTGGCCATGGGCGCTCGCGCCTGCCCGAAGCGTCCCGCAGTGCGCATCTTGCAGCGGGCTAGTACCGCTGCTGCTGCTACAGCCGCCGACCATCTTCGCCGCCCTCCTCCTCGTCCTCGTCCTGTTCCTCCTCATCCGAATCGCCATCATCACCAGCATCAACACCGCCAACACTGCCGTTGGCTGATCACCAGCATCAGCACCATCAACGTCACCATCCGCCCACATTCCTCCCTCCTTTCGCCCCCTTCTCATCCCCCCTCCTCATACCATCCCCTATCATGCCATCCCCTCGCCCCCGCGCTCCTCCACACACCCCCCAACCCGCCCATGGATCACACTTCGTTCGGACATCGTTCTGTCCCCTTGATGGTTTCTTCCATCGCTCACTCAATCGTCCGCTCACTCGATACATCAGGACCACCGGCCTGCGCGAAGCCCGGACTCACGGGAGCTTACTGGCACACAAGGATGGGCAGAGGGCGGCTAAGGCACGGAGACCACCGTCCCACCTTCGTCCCCTTCATCCTCATCATCCTCCTCTTCCTCAGGCTCCTCAGGCTCCTCCTCCTCCTCCTCCACCTACTACTACTACTACCACCACCACCACCACCACCACCACCACCACCACCACTACCACTACC